CACAATGTCATCTCACTGTCATATTGCCATGGGCATAAGCTTTTCAAGATAACAGACATGAGCATTTATTTTGAGGTGAACTATCAATAATTTAGGTCAGAAAATATCTTCAGAGTTAAGCAGAGAAACACAATCCATGTAGTGAATGGGACGGGATATCAATATCTCTTGAAACGACACATTTCAGAAAAATGAAAAGATTACAATGCATGGAGTACTTGTGCACTTCAAATATAAAATTTAGCCAATGTGATCTCAAAAACAGTATAGCTTGACCATTTTTCCAGTGTATGCCTATAACGCCAGTCAGATTTTTCCGTGTACTCCTGTCAAACTTTCCTGGTAGATCCCCCCCCCCCCGGCCCCCAAGTGATCAGATGATTTGGGGATGATTTCTGTTTTTCACCTAGCTTTCAAGGGGTGATTTTATTTTTGGCCTGATCTTTTACATTTTTGCAAAATAATTATTTTTCATCACAAATGATCTGGGAAATTTTCTTAACTTCAATTTGAGAGTACCTCTGCGTACTTGGCTTACATGTGGCTACGCCATTAGAGTACATGTACATATACTTTCAGAAATTTTAGTTATGTTCATATCAATCTTAGACATGTACAGTCTGTTAAACTGCTTCGAAGGCAAGCAGCTGAACCTGAAAAATAAGAAATCTATTGTGCCATAATACCGTATATAGAAAAAAACATTCATATTGCACATGATTGACATTTGTATATTTTAGATTATTTAGTGTTTAGTGAAATAAGCCTGTGCCCTCTTGTAATTTGAGGTCTATTTGCGAGATCTATGTTATTTTTTCAGAATTAACATGGCAGAGAAGCATCAAAATATAAGAGATTTCATACTTTATAAACCAATTCACAAGCAATCCAAGATATACAAATGTCATTCATGTGCAATATGAATCTATTTTTCTCTATTTATTGCACAATCTTTAGATTTCTTATTTTTCAGGTTCAACTGCATATGGGTGCATTGTAATGTGTTATGACCCTAGGGCGACCCAGGGGAATAACTAAAAATGACCGCGAGCATAGGTCCAACAAGCCAGATAAAGAAATTGAAAGAAAGTGTGCTAAATTTGATGCCCCGAGTGGGAATCGAACCCAGCTGGGCTGTAGTAGCAACTTGCTATCAAGGGTCGTTACAAATGCATCTATAATTCATCATAAACTAAGATTTAATAAACTAAGATATTTAAAATTGAACCCTTCAAAGACTGTATCATGTCCAACATATGTGGGTAGGTGGGTATGAGGTAGGAGGTTTTTTATACAAAGCCCCTTTGAAGCAGTTAAGGCCAGAGTGCACTTTGGAATTTTTTTGCAATTTTGAATTTAGTAAACCACTGAATATTCTAGTTATGCAAACATTCTGAAGAATTTTCAACCCTCAATTAATAGTCTAGGTACACTAATGCATATTTTGTGCAAGAATGAAAGATGTAGATTATGTGTGGAATGAGTTATGTTTATCTGAAAATAGCACTATGGTCATGAAATTCCATCAAAAGTGCACCCTGATAAGACTGTACTTATATTTAGTAGGGCTTTGACAAAACCAGGAACATTTTCAAAAGTCCATCATCAATCAAAATTTCAATAAAACAATTATACAAAAATTGTCTGATACTGAAGAAAAATAATCTGATTGTGGAAACAACAATTTCTTCACCACAACTAACCCATGTCCAGTGAGCAATTAAACAACGCCACCCCCCCCCCCCCTTAACATGACATGGAAATAATACATAAAAAAGATCAGGATTATACAGGACTATCTTTCTTTCCAGAATTATAGATGATAGATAGACTATATAGAAAAACTATTTTGGAAATGTGAATAAAAAAATGGAAAGCAGATAGTAGAAATTATCTCAATCTATTATGTCAATTTCAGCATCGTTTTGTTTGGGAAGTCTTTAAATGTAGCTTTATTATTGTTCTTTAAATATCAGATGTATGGAATAATCATTTAATTTATCACAAAACAACATACATATTGTTTAAATTACCTGTAAATAGAGACAATTTGAATCATCTATTGTTTTATGATTCCAAGGACCTCTGCTGGATTACGCAAAATGCTGCATTTTGATTGGTCAATCCACGTCTTGTAAACAAACCAAAGACCTTTCACTCAAGCATCTTTGACATCAGTTTGCATCAGTAAATAGTTGACAGTTCAACAATTATTTGACATCAAAGCTATTATAAGATGCAAAAGTAACACTTGCAATGTATTTTTACAATAAAACCTTCCTTGCACCATATCAAATAGCTTGATTAGTGTCTGACAATTTCTTGTATTTTCTGCTAAAACTATACTGAGGTACCCATGTTTAGAAGAATCAAGTGCACTCAAGGACATAATATGCCACCTATTTTATTTGATATTTCATATAACCATATCTCCATTATTTAGTTTCAAATGTTTATGGCCTAATTTGAGGTCTACTTGGGACCCCAGGACAGTTCAAACAAACCTCACTTTTAGGCCTGTTAGGAAGTCTATTAAATTGATCATCCTCAGACACCTGGCGTGGAATTCGAACACTAGCCCCTCTATGAGCGACACCTGCCGTGAAAACATCGATGCTTGATGTCTCATGGCGTCCAGTAAGTCGACGTTTGTTGGACTCCCCTCGATATGGGTCATGCTCCTTATGTTTCAGGGCCATATTTTTCCACGTTATTCATGTTTTCTAAATTTTGACAGTGTTTTTTTATTTTATCCATGTAACTTGACCGAACATCTTTTAACTTATTGCATTCTAATAGGTAATGACATTCTGAACCGGTTTTCTTGTTACACATTAAACATTTTCTTTCTTCAATAGGGGTAATTGGTTTTGTGTAACGACCTGTTTCGATTTCTAATTTATGTGCGCTAATTCTTAGCTTTGTCAAGTTATTTCTGTCTATTTCATTTTTGATTAAATCCAAGTAGGGTTCCTTGTTCCATTTTGCTTTTATTATCTTATAAAACCTCAATTTACCATTATTTGATTTTATTTTAGTTTCCCAAAATTGTATGTATCTATTTTCCAGTAATTTCTTAATTTCTCTTGGTTTTAAGTTTAAATAGTTTGGTGAAGTACCATTGTAAATATATTTAAGTACATCATTGATGTGCGTGAGCCATGATTGTTTATTCATATCTGTCAGTTGTTTATTTACCTCAAGGGCTTCACGTAGAAGCGAGTCGGTTCCTTTATTGTTAATATGATTAAGATATTTCATTTGTTGATAAAACAAAGAAATAAATACTGGAAACCTACCTAAATCGCCTCGTGTAGCGTCATTACTGGCCTTTCTGTTAACACCGAGTATCGATTTCATAAATGATATATGAAGAGATTCAAATGTTATTCCATCATATCCCTTTTCTAATGCCCATTGTGGGTCTTTTTTAATTTTACTCGAGTTTAAGATACCCGTACCCCATATATCAGATCCATAGAGGCATATGGGCTTTATGAGTTGATCAAATAGTTTTAAGCATAATGATGGTTTCATATTACCATTAGAAATTAGACTTAATAATTTAAATTTTGCCTTTTCAGCTTTGTCTTTGATATGCTGGGCTGCAGGTCTCATTGACCCACTTATGCTTAATTCCATTCCCAGGTAAGCTAAATGTATCGTGAAACAGATTCTATTTTGTAATTTCCTATAAAGAAGTGATTATCAATAAGTCTACCATTTTTATTCATTACCATAATTTTGGTTTTATCAGTGTTGATATTTAAGTGCCATTCTTCACAGTATTTTTCTAATTTGTCCAATTTGGTTTGCATTTCATCTTTTGAGGATGCGATAATTACTAAGTCATCAGCAAAAAGGAGGCTTCCAATTCGCTTATTATTTAATAATGGGTCTGTTTTGAGATCTAATGTTTTAATAATGTCATTTATATATAGGCTATATTAAATAGAAGAGGACTTAGGGGGTCCCCTTCAGGCGCGTATCGTCATGTACGCAAAATACGCCCAGGCGTACTGTTTGAATTTGAAAAAATATTTAGAAAAAAAACATGAAATTCAGTATTTTACTGTTATTTTCTTTGATGATGTGTAAACCTTTGTTGTACAAGTGTATTAACAATAAGTTCTCGATTCCCTCATTGTCATTCACTGTTACGGGTTACTAATCAATTAATTAATACCACGTCTATCTCGATCGTAGATAAAAATGATATTCCTCAACATGGCAGGTCTGCACGAAAAATCGTACGCCAAAAATCGCATTCATCTTCACACATTATTCATCCACATACGGGGGCGTACCCTTGCAAAATGACCACGATACGCGCCTGCCCTTGTTTTATTCCCTTGTTACAGGTCAAATTCATTGGTAAATAGACCCTCATTATCTAGTCTGACTCTTGCTTTTGATTGTGAATATATATGTTTTATCATTTTACCCGTACCCCATATATCAGATCCATAGAGGCATATGGGCTTTATGAGTTGATCAAATAGTTTTAAGCATAATGATGGTTTCATATTACCATTAGAAATTAGACTTAATAATTTATTCGTGATAAGATTTTTTCGTGATAAGAAAATACCCCCGGCGCACGGAACAACTCAAAATTAAATTTTTAGGGCCGTTTTGCCCCAGGTTCCCTTAGGCTACAATTTAGCCAAAGTGGTTTAAACTTTGTACGGGAACTTATAGGCTAGGCTTCTTTCCTTGAAAAAACAACGGAGCTGAAAATAAATATTTGGTTCAAATCGGCCGGCAAAGAACTTCATATTACACCGAACGAAATATATTTGAGTTGGGCGTAGTGATACACGATTTATACCATAGATTAACATAAATTAAGATTATGGCATCTCTGTTTTGGAATGAATTTACAATGTATACATAAACAGGATTCATACTACTCAAGTGTTAAGCTAAATTCTGTCCGAAACAGACTTAATCAGAGAACTATATGATGACGTCATAAGTGAGTTGTAATTCGACGGTAACGCGCAGACGACAGAGGTGAGCGATATAATGTAATAAAACGGTAAAATATATCATATATTGATATTCGGTGACTTTAATTGCCCGAGTTGTTGTAATTCATGTGTATCTACTATGTCACGTTCAGTATTTTTTAACTTTGTAACTGTTTTGTCATGAATTGAACTCCAAATACTGTATTTAAAATTGAAAAATATCATGGAATGAAAAACAGTGGCCCAAATGCAAATTGAACCCGAAATTGAAAAGCAATGCTCAGTTGGGCCTAAGTGAGGGCCATCAATCCTTATTATTCAGTATCCATTATATTAGATAGTTGGTGCTGACCGTGAGTCGGGCCGTGAGTTAGGCCTATGTCAGTTTTGCCCAGTTTATGTGGAGATGAGTAGGCTTTTCAATATGGGGCCCAATATGTGTCCCGATTTTTTGGGGGCCCACTTTAGGGTGGGGGGGGGACTGTCCCCATGTCCGCCACTGCATCATTCTAGGCGATGGTCTCAGATAGAATCTAGCCTAGACTATCACAGTGTAAAATGTTTTGTAAGATATTCTGCTATTCTTTTGTAGGTGCAGCTGACTTGTACATATTCAAAATGGTAAGATTCAGTTCTGTTTCAAAGACCTTTTCCAAATGAGGAAAAGCCACTCCAAGGAGGATTGGCTCCCAGAATGCAACATCGATATTCTATCCCATAGGCCTATATTATGGTATTGTGACCTTAACCTTATTTTCATGTGACAGCTAAGGCCCATACCCAGAATTTTCCAAGGGGGGTTCACTTTTCCAAAAAAATCTAGGGGGGGCACTTTGGCAAATTTGGCCAAAAATCACTCAAAAAATAGTCAGAATGGTGAAAAACTGAATGATTTTGAAAGAAATTTTGACCAGGGGGAGGTTTGCCTGAACCCCCTGACCCCCCCCCCCTTGGCCACAGATCCGGAGCCTGGTTCCCGAAACATGTCACATGTAAATAAGGTTAAAGATCAACATACAATACATGGAACAGAATATCAATGTTGCATTCTGGGAGCCAATCCTCCTTGAGCCACCTTTATATCCTAAGGCTAAGCCCAAGGAGGATTGGCTCCCAGAGTGCAACATCAATATTCTGTCCCATATATGGGTATGTCGTGATGCAAAATTTGAATTCACATTTCAAACAGCTGCCATTTTGTTCACTTCAACATTTGAATCGTGAATTTTGGTCTTATTCCCTAGCAAAAAATTCCATAACTCACAAGAAATGATTGAGATATTGGTTTGAATCTTTTGAACAGTTTATTTTGATTAATAAAGCAAAAAGTGGTGACATATTGTTATGGTCTCCATTTTTTTGACGGCGATCGGCTGTTCGCGATCGGCGTCCTTATGTTATGTTATTTTATTTACCATCTTAAAGATGAGTACATAATATACATAAATATGTTACAAAAATAATATACGAAAAATACTACAAGTTATAGGTAACAAATTCTTACAACTTCCAATAACTTAACAAATACTGTTTAGACTGACTTCAATTTTTTTTCAAATTCACGTACAAGTTTTCAGAAGCTCAAATTTGACTTTATATTTAAGATTTACCATCAAATCAACAATGACCTTTTCAAGGTCAAAAAAGGTCAAAAAGGTCTTTTTTCAACTTGCTTCAAATTGACCATTTTTTTTCAAAATCATCTACAAGTTATCAGAAATTCAAGTCTGACTTTAGATTTGAGATTTGACCTTCAATGACCTTCTAAAGGTCAAAAAGGTATTTTTTTAAGTTGCATCAAATTCACCAATTTTTTTTCAAAATCATCTTCAAGGTCCTGAAAGTTCAAATCTGACTATAGATTTGACCTTCAATGACATTCTCAAGGCAAATTGTTTTTTAAATCATCTACAAGTTCTCATAAGTTCAAATCTGACTTAGATTGAATTCATAATATATTTAGAAACTAGGTGGTGACATTTTGTCATGTTAGTACCTTCTTGTTCTACTTTTTTTAATTGACAATTTCAATTTGCCTTGAATATATCAGCTTATCATTTGTCATTGTCAATGCGTCCTAATTTACATAATTTTAATTTTCCAAGAAAAAAGTGTTTTGCTAAAATCTTGGGCCTCAGTTCTGAACTGATGCCCATATCCATTGTATGATATCCTTGTTTATCATGTTATTTATTTTATTTATTTATATTTATTTATGACTGTCATGTGCAATCATATCTGATAATGTTTTCAGTATGGTCAAATTCACGTCATTGTGCAAGCTCTGATCAAAACAAAGTTTGGAGAAGAAATATGGAAGAAAATTTTGTGAGTATTATTTTGCTTCAACTTCATATTCAGTGCAAATAAATTAAAACTAAAATGTATTTGATTTGAGTATATTGAAGAGATGGGTAAAATTGTGAAAACTCATGCCCTTCAATGATAAAGTAAAAAAATTATTTTGGATAATGAGGAGGTGTTCTCATTTCAAGGTTTTGCAGTTGAGAGATTCTTGATTTTGAGGAAATGTGGCTTTTTAAAGATTAGAATTTAAGGTAGTTGAATCTGGGCAATAGATGGCTCCATGCTATAGCAATGATTTGACCAGTGTTTACCATCAGGTCAAATATATTTTGTGATATCACACTTTCGAAAAATGAGTTTCTTACTTTATATGGAATTTTGATGGAATTATAAATTATAGTCAGTAATATAATTTTTAGTGTACCTTTGTTTTAATTTTGGTAGATAAGTAAAAAAATATTTGACAAAATCAAATATAAAATTGAAAAATAGTATTTTATCAAGGAGAAAATCAAATATAAAATTGAAAAATAGTATTTTTTCAAGGAGCAACTGTAAAAAAACATTTTCATTTTTTAAGTAACTTTAAATAGGCTTACTTAAAGGCAGAATCAGATCTATAGGGGGTGACAAAATTACAAGCAACATGGATAACTGACCTAACAATCTATTCCTTACAATATCAAATACAATATCTCCCAAAAGATTCACAATATGTTACAAATTGGTGAAGTTATTAATGATTCAAAGTGCAAAAATGGGTGAAAAATGTTTAAATTCTCCCAAATAATAAGAATGGTAACCATTCTTATAGAAAAAGAATACATAATTGTAAAAATCTTTCATTTCCTTGAATAAAGTATGCACTTTTGTGATTTTTAGAAAATAGACATGACAAGGAATGACATGAGCCAAAAATATTCTAAAATTGAAAAACAATATTTTGTTTAGCCTGCTCGCTATCTCTAATTCTCTCTTTAATTTTCCAGTCTTCAAAAAGTAAAAATTCTGTCATTTAGTTTTGGATATAATACAGCCTACTCTACTTTTGCTTAACATGGTTAGATCAAAATGTTGTCTAGCTTTAAGTAAAGAATGAAAGTTATTTTTGGGCCTCCAGGGATAATTAATTTAGAACTGGAATCATGAACACAAAATATAATTTGAAATTATTTCAGAGATAAATCAGGATTTGATGATCCAGATTTCTTGGTGTTTCACTACTACACAGATGAGAGGACATTAACTTTAGTGGGTGCTGTGTCTGAAGTGCTTGGTAAGTGGTTCCTTTCATTTGTAAAAAGAGCACGTAGGTTATCGCAAACAATTTCAAACGATTCTAACTTTGAATTATGAATATTTCTTGATCATGAACATGGGTGTATCTTTTAGATCCATTCATTATCTTCAAGAAAAGTATATATAATGATAATTTAGTTAATCAGACCTAAGTGATATTGAAGAGGCAATGGACCAATCAACATACTTTTTCAAAAATGTTGACCAAATTTTCACCAAAAATGCAACCTATTATTAAATTGTTGAATGCATAATTAGAATGTGCTTTAAGACATGTTTGATATTAAAGATATTCAATTTGGATGACCAAAATGAACTGAAACCAATGGATAGCATGAGATTTTTCAATGGAGAAATAACATGGGGAACACTTATCTTAATGCAATTAAGTTTTTCTTTCAAGAACTATTTGATACATCAAAATAAAGAATAGTAATGCATTAAACACTGTAAAAAATGATTGCATTTTTGGTGAAAATAGGGTCAACATCTTCAAAATGGGGTCAAAAAGTGTGTTGATGGGTTAATTGCTAGTTAAATATCTCCGAGTTTGTTTGAATTTATTATTACTGTGCATAATTTTCTTTGAGATAATGAATTGATCTAAAAGATAAACTTGTCTTCATTGTCAGAAAATAGTCATAATCCAAGATATAACCTTCTGAAATTGTTTGCGATAACCCACGTGCTCCTTTAAAAACTGAAATCTGGTACTAATATACTCAAAGAAAAATTCATCCTAGGTGAATTCACTGCACTTTTTACACAAAGTTTTTTTATAATCTGTGTCATTTGACCTTCATATAATATAAGTTAATACATAAGTGCACAGTTGAAAAAATATCTAATTTGATAGATACTGTCAGGTCTTTAGCAACACTACACTAGCTCATTGTTAATGTCGTTTTTGAATAAAATTGTGAAGTGCACAGGCCAACAATGTAGAGACAATAATGATATTATAAGTTAAATGATTATAGTTAAAGGAAATAATAGATAAAATTAAAAAATAATTATTATTCTTTCTTTCCAGACCTCCCTGTTGAAGCTGTCTTAGAAGTGTTTGGGGGTTACTTCTACACATACTGTAAAGAGAATGGCTATGATAAGATGTTGGCAACCCTTGGAGGTGACTTCGTCAGCTTTATTCAGAATCTTGATTCCCTTCATGCTCTATTGGCCATGACCTATGAAGAAATTGAAGCTCCATCATTCAGGTATTATGTGTCTCGACCTCAATATAACTCGCTGAATTAATGTCATTCATTATATTTATTAATTAAATCAAATATGAAACTTTGGCCATGGCAAGGAATCAGTAAAGCAAATATCATATCTGATTTTTATGTCACAAGTGGTGATATATATTGTTATGGTTTCCATTTTTTGACAATGATGTTCAGCATTCAGCAGTTGGTGTTCGGTGTATGGTGCCTGTAATAAATGGGAAATGGTGACATTTTGCATGTTAATGCCTTGTGTTTTTGGCTTTCTCTTGAAATATATGGATTTTTCATTTAAAGTAAAGAAATACTTTATCTGCCGCAGTCATTGATTAATGGATTGTCACAATGCAAATTACATATCTTGCAGGAAGCGAGAAAATGTAGTACAAATACAAAACAGAATTGACTTACATTGTGTATTGTTACACGGCATAATTCATCACAAAATGATATATTGCATGTGATTTTAGGTGTCTCCCTAAAGAAGATTGCTCTGTTGAGCTCCATTACTACACCAACAGGAAGGGTTTACATCCTATTGTAATTGGTATGTTAATTTCTTGTCAATTTCAGTTTTTATGATTTCACCATCACTTGAGGTTAAGTTGAAATTCTACCAAATGTTTCAGCAGAAGCTTGATGAAAAGAATGCAATAATATTTTAGTACATGAGTAGTATCTAATTAAAGGGATAATCAGATTTATAGGTTGTGACAAAATTGCAAGCAACTGTGCAGTTGACATACCAATATATTCCTTACAATCTCAAAAATAGCTCCCAAAAGATCCAAAGTATGTTATAAATTGGTGAAGTTACAGTATAAGGATTCAAAGTGCCAAAATGGAGAAAAAATTTTAAATTCCTATATTAAAGGTAGTTGCTCTAACATCTTGCTTGCCCGATTGATACGATTACATTTAATTTTACTACTCCATCTACTGTATGACTATGGATAAATACCAATTTGACCGTGAGCTTACCATACTTCAAGCTAAAATAATAATTGTTTACTTCTAGTTTTTTTTAATTCTGTGCCTCAAAAAGTGGTCTTGTCACTAGGTCCTTGATCAATCAGAAAAATGGTGGCCGCAAAAGTGAATTAATGAAAAATTATGGATCTATTTTTATAATTCAACCATTTTGCATCTGTCGTGACATACGTTGGAATATAACGTCAGTCCATTCGTAAATCAAGCTCTAAACAATTGAAAAATTACGAATGACCTAAGAAAGCATACAAAAATGGTCCATTCGCAACTTTATGAATTCGTAACTCATTCGTAACTTTTTAAATATTTACGAATTGCGAACGTTCATTATTACGAACGGTACAAAAACGGACTCCAGATATTCGGGAAAGACTGACTTCCGGTCTCATTGATGTGGTAAAATGTTTTATTACTTCAATAAATTATTGTAAATACAATACAATGTATTTTCTGTTGACTGGCATTACAGTAGTCATTAAATAATTTGAAAATGGAAATATTTTAATTAATTATTTAAAATAAAAGTGCATACGTATAATAATGCGGAAAATATGAAACGAACCGTTTGGAAAAAGGTCCGTCCAGAAAGCCAAGAGTAAGACTTCAACAAACCAAGTAGCCTTTGTTTCAAAACTTTTCACAAGTGATCAAGACGTGTTTCTTGATTGATTAGAATAGTTTATTGCCCAATGTTCGGTGAACAGATGTTAGAGAAACTACCTTTAATAATAAAAAATGGTTACCATATTTTAAAAAATGAATACATAAGTGTAAAAAAAAAATTCTTCAACTACAACATATATGCAATTTGGGGATTTTTAGAAAATAGACATGACAATGCATGGTATGAGCCCAGAATATTCTGAAACAATTTGTCAAGAGTTATCATCTAAGGATATTGCAAGATCTGATTCTGCCTTTTCTGCTAGTTTATCTTCTGTTCAAATTTCATGTTTCAATATTTTGTTATTAGGAACTTTGAAGGAGTTGGGAAGTGATTTGTTTGGCCTAAAGTTGGATATCACTGTGGAAGATCGTGAAGAACTTCAGATTGATGCCAACACTATTCAGCAACATGTCACTTTCAAAGTAATGGGAGCATTAGATAAGAAAACTGTTGCCAAGGCAAAGAAGGTAGACTTCGAACCATACTTTCCAGAGGACTACATAACCTCTTCTAAAAGTATTTGTACTGCTCTACCATACCATGTTATCTTTGACAAAGATTTAGAAGTACGACAGACGGGGGAGTACTTGCAGCGATTGTGTCCAAAGCTTTCAGAGACTGGAACAAATCTAGCTGATATATTTGAACTTCACCATCCAGTTATGGCCCTCACATATCCTAACTTGTTGTTCTTCATCAATGCATCGTATGTTCTAACTATTAGAAATGAATTTGTCGTCAAGCACAAAAGATCAGAAATAGCACATCATAATATGGAAGGTACCAAAGATTTACTAACTCAATGTAGCATGGTTAAGGTGATTGTTTAACCTGAGGCATAAAGCTTTACGATAAGTTTGTATATTTTTGATCCCCATTTTAGGGAATGGGAGAGTAAGGATTAACAGACAGAATTATCTCCAAAACTAAAGAACATGATTTTAACTTTTCCACACTTTAATGATTAAGGTCACTGACTTTTTTATTATGTTGCTAATTTCAATGTATATACCAAATACCAAATGTGTATTCATTAAATTCATCAAAATAAATGCATCAATATAAAAAACTAATTTTTCAAATGTGTGACATTGCCGGTAAACAACTACCTTAATCATATTTTTGCCTACAAATCAGTTTCTTTCACCATAATAATATTCAGATGTCATTTCTTGTATGTCAGCTTTCTACAAGCAATGAGGTTACTCATTAAAATTGTAAATGACCAAGTTATCTTTAAAAATTGAATAATAAATTATTTCACAAAATCTGTTAGATCTGCAAGATCACATAACTAATTGAAGTAAATCAAAAATATGTTTTTATATGCAGTTATTTTTTAGGTCAAATGGTATATTTAGACAATGGTCACATTGCCTTCATTTGTTCTCCACAACTGAACTCCCTTGAAGAGATGATGTCAATGAATGTCTTCTTGGCCGACATTCCAATGTTTGATGTCACCAGGAAACTTGTGTTGCTCAGTCAACAGCGTAATGCTGAAATTGAAATCAGGTGAGCGAAACGTTTTATCCTAATTTGAAAAATGGGTGTATTGGTGCCTCTGGATGTGTTACAGTATCTTTCACCTTACTTAATAGTGCACCCTGTACATATAAAAGCTTTCTTCCCGAATGTGCACATGATTCATTTTTGTTAGAAACAGAGGCCTTATTCACAAAGCATCGCAATTTGAATGCGATTGCTATTATATGCGATTGCGACATCGCAATTTTGGCGCTGTATTCACAATGACGTGATATCGCAATCGCGTAGCAATAGCAATCGCATTAGGATAGCAATGTGTTAATTAGCACTGCAAGGAGGATTGGCTCCCAGAATCGAAATCGATATTTTCCAACAATGAAAACGCCGAGATGTCGTTATTTTCTGAAATTATAACAGATTATAAATTCAAAATAAACAGTTCAAAAGATTCGAACCAATATCTCAATCATTTCCTGTGAGTTTTGGAATTTTTCGTTAGGAAATAAGACCAAAATTTACGATTCAAATGTTGAAGTGAACAAAATGGCGGCTGTTGGAATTCAAATTTTGTAGCACGACATGCCCATATATGGGACAGAATATCGATGTTGCACTCTGGGAGCCAATCCTCCTTGTTAGCACTGTAAATGTTGTAACTCAAAATTCAAACATTGTACACTTTCTTTGATTCAAAAATTACCGCCGATCTCACATATGGGCCACATATAGAAGAACTATTACTCACCTTCCTTATAAGGCATAATTTCCGGTCAATACCATAAATGGAATCATTTCCGATTATGATTCATTCTTGTATCAATTCTACTTTCATACGTAAATTACGTCACGCGGCCCCTAGCTAAGAATAGCATCGCTTATGGGTATATAAATGGCAGTTTAGACTTGATTCGGGGAGAACTGGGAACGGATCGAAAGCGCGGAACCAACGGGGAACTCGAAACAAACTCGGAACTGGGAACGGAGTTAAAATGGGGAATCTTGAAGGGATCTGTGAATGGATTGGAAACATGGAAAGAGGGAGAAAGGGGAAACAAATTTGATACGGGTAATTTGCGCGGCTTCGGAATAAGGCAAATGAGGGACGAAGTATTTTCAATTAATATTTATTATTCATTATTTGTATGAGAAGTTCTTTTATTTAACAAGCGCGGGTATATTATAGGAATTAAATCATTCATACAATTGGTAAAGCATTTGATCCATTAAGATAAATGTACTTATTGCATTAATTAGAGAACTGTAAAGCTTGGAATAAAAATATTTGTTTTAATTATAATTAACAAGTCCGTTACAATTATTTGGGAATCATGGAATACAAGTTAAAATGTTGGGGAACATAATGGTCTTGTAACAACCGTGGGCCATGCATCTGCCTTACAAGTGTAGTGTAGCCTTGGCATTACACAGTCCCAGACTGTTATCTTGTTCCAAAGTAGTATCACTTAAACAGTAACAATTGAATAATAAGACAATTACATATGGGGTTATAAGTCCTTACTTAGTCTGTCATAAGTCTTAAAGTAAATCAGTAATAAATGTGTTAACTGTCTGACTACACGTCATAAATGGGACTAATGCTGTTTATATTAATAAACTGGGGGTTCTAGCCACTTCTAGCAATGGTATCCAGGGTGAATAGTGATTCTAGCCACTTCTAGCAACCGTTATCAAAGATGTATAATGGTTCTAGCCACTTCTAGCAATGGTAATCTGAGATGTATAAGGGTTCTAGCCACTTCTAGCTATGGGTACCAAGGAAGTATAAGGGTTCTAGCCACTTCTAGCTATGGGTACCAAGGAAGTAAAAGGGTTCTAGCCACTTCTAGCTATGGGTACCAAGGATGTATGAGGGTTCCAGCCACTTCTAGCAATGGTAACCTGGGATGTTTAAGGGTTCTAGCCACTTCTAGCTATGGGTACCAAGGAAGTATAAGGGTTCTAGCCACTTCTAGCTATGGGTACCAAGGATGTATGAGGGTTCTAGCCACTTCTAGCTATGGTAACCTGGGATGTTTAAGGGTTCTAGCCACTTCTAGCTATGGGTACCAAGGATGTATAAGGGATCCAGCCACTTCTAGCCATGGTAACCTGGGATGTTTGAGGGTTCTAGCCACTTCTAGCTATGGGTACCAAGGAAGTATAAGGGTTCTAGACACTTCTAGCTATGGGTACCAAGGAAGTATAAGGGTTCTAGCCACTTCTAGCTATGGGTACCAAGGAAGTATAAGGGTTCTAGCCACTTCTAGCTACGGGTACCAAGGAAGTATAAGGGTTCCAGCCACTTCTAGCTACAGGTACCAAGGATGTATAAGGGTTCCAGCCACTTCTAGCTACGGGTACCAAGGAAGTATAAGGGTTCCAGCCACTTCTAGCTACAGGTACCAAGGATGTATAAGGGTTCCAGCCACTTCTAGCCATGAGAACCAAGGATGTATATGGGTTCCAGCCACTTCTAGCTACGGGTACCAAGGAAGTATAAGGGTTCCAGCCACTTCTAGCTATGGGTAACACGTGACCAGAATGGGGGGGGGGGCGTGTTACACTTGCAGTTGACATAGGGAACTGGAACTGGCTAGAAGTCACGTGTATCATGTCATGTCAATGGAAGTCAAATGTAAGTGGGAGGGGATAAACATATGTCACTAAACTCCCTAAAGATAAACAAAACAACAAGTTTAAAATTATCTAATCTATTTCAAGAATTATAAAATAATCACATATAATTAGTACAAGTAAGTTTATATAAGTTACATACACAATTGAAATACACCAAGACCAATCAAACACTTAAATCACAGTTAAGTGGCTGTAAAAGGCTAGAAGGAGAGCTTAGCTAATAGGAGCTAGATGATGACTCACTCAAGCTAGAACAGGCTGTTCCCATATCCAAAACAACAGATAGCCCCTATCTTTCATTAAAAAGGTCGTATTTTACGTTCACTGGTAATTTCAGTATACTTCAAATAATTAAACCTTGCTACTTACGTTGATAACATTGATAGTTTGATGAGAAATCGAGACGAAATTACATGAAAACACATGGAAATCACTCCAAAAGTTCACATCTCAATTACTGGTCAATTACTGAAACAATTCCATTCAAAGTCACAGAACAATTAAAATATATCATTATAATTACCTTGAACCACAATGCACCACGATTCACCAACGCAAACTGCTATAAATCCAAGAAAATGAGGAGAAAACACAAACTGGTCCACCATGATTGAGAAAATTCCAAAAGACAAGTAGTGCATAAAATCCCTACGCCAAATCACATGACAAGATGAATCACAGTTCAAAATAAGACAAACTAAAGTTATGTACATATATATAAACATGCAAACAATAGAATAGACATACTAAATAACATACATAAGTCAAAGTAATCACAATAAGGCAAGATGATCAATGGACCTATATCCTGTAAGCAGAATTGTATAGAGTGAACAGGCCAAACGTTGCACAAGCGTATGAGTCATAGTGACCTTTACTAAAGTTAACAGACAATTCACAAGGCGATACCCAGTCACTATAGGCTTAGAAAGCAAAGTACAGATGCACTCTGCATCAACTGTAAACAAAACTAGCATTGGCGCTATGTAAGCGCTGACCACAGAATACAAGTACAAGTACAGGACATATATAATACAGTAAAACTCCATACTGGTGAACAGTGAAATTATTAGTTAATGCAGTTGAAACAGTGCAAATAAGAGGATCAGTAACGGCACATCAGACCAGATAATAACAATTGAAAAGAGTAGACAGGCTGATGGGTCGTTACACTGCCCCCTTCTTTAAAATAAGTTCGTCCCGAACTTTTACACACAAGTTACAAATCAAATCACAATCAATAATACACAAAAGTATTTCAATCAAAGATGACACATGATCCAAAAGTGACATGATAATACAGTAGTTTACAAGGTTATACACTTACAACTTGCATCACCTGAAAAACATGTCATAACAATATCCATTTGGTTCAAACATTTTTATAAATATCAAGAGCTCAAATTGCACATGTATTTTGTAGTTATAGTAATTAAGATAGTGTTCTTCTTAGAATTCTAATGAATGTTTAGTTGGAACTAGTCGTATCCAGAACACTGCATAATCAAAAGTTATTGTAAGTGTTGACACAGTAATGTGTCTAGATATTCCTGCATCATATTGCTTCTCTGTATAACAGGGATAGTCATAAGTTTATATATAGCACGTCAGATACACAACGAAGATCAGATATGCTGTACAATCCTCCAATAATCCTATGTGTATGGCAACAGAATGCTCACATCAATGTCTCTATGTTAGCTTGTGGTCGACATCTCTAAACCTGGAAGAGAAACTCCACTCTCGTATCACTGCAATGCAGATATTCCAATCTACAATAGCCACAACTTCCTCTCATTGCCAGCCACCTAATAAGTCTCCACTTGTAGGAGACACGCTACATAGACGTTCATATCTATAATAACTCATAGGATCTTCAACCATGGTAACTACACACATATGCAATGTCCGCCTACTTTAAGACTGTGGGACAAGACAAAATAGGCTACAGCTGGGTGACATTGCTGAAAGTTAGGCATTTAGGGACCATTGAGGGATGGAGATAACATTTCACAGTTGGTGCACTGTTTGACTGACAGTTTTCAGCACCATCACAATTATATACACTATATACAAGGGAACTCTGCCTCGAACATTACGTTCACAATTACTCCAATTGTGTAACGGTTGAGCCTAGGTCATCTACTAGGGCAACAAGGTAACGGTTTGGGTAGACAGTCTTTTCTCATTACTTCAGTTAGTAATCAATAATGGAAAGGATAAATCAATGAGGCACCAGAGACTGTACATTATCCTGACGCCATCATTATCAGAGATGTAAACTTGGGGTTCATTTAGCAACTCTTCGGATCTATGGGAACCATCTTCCCGTGTGGAGGTATCAACATCACTAAAGGGGGGAACGCTAAGGGAAGCTTTATTCAATGTGT